ACGTGCCCTCCTTAATGCCCACCTTCCAGTTACCCCGTCCACCCACCAACCTCCCCTCCAGCGACCCTCCGTTTGTTTGCTATAGCTAAGAGTGTCTTATGGCTTGCCTTCTTCTCTGATTTTGTCTTATTTTATTTGTCCTTCCTGTCGTCCATGTTCATCTGTTTCTTAAATTCCACATATGAGTGAGATCATATGGTATTTCTTTCTCTGACTTATTTTATTTAGCATAAAACCCTCTAGTTCCATCCATGTCATTGTAAATGGCAAAATTTCATTATTTTTGATGGCTGAGTAATATTCTTTTGTATATATATGTATATTTGTGTGTGTGTGTACATATATATATAACACATCTTCTCTATCCACTCATCTGTAGATATACATCTGGGCTCCTTCCATAGTTCGGCTGCTGTGGACACTGTCACTATCAACATTGGGGTACATGGGCCTCTTTGAATCACTATTTTTGTATTCTTTGGATAAATACCTAGTAGTGCAAGTGCTGGGTCATAAGGGAGTTCTGTGGTTAACTTTCTGAGGAACCCCCACACTGTTTTCCAGAGTGGCTGCTCCAGTTTGCATTCCCACCAACAGCACAAGAAGGCTCCCTTTTCAAGATGGACATATTTTAAAAATCATTATGCTAAAGAAGAGAAGCCACACAGAAAGGCCTATATACCAAAGGATTCCGTTGTTCATGCTATTCTGAAAGACAAAACCATTCCGGCCCAAGTCAGATCCGTCTTTGTCAGGAGCTAGGAATGAAGAGAGGAGACCGAATGCAAAGGGCTCTGATGGGACTTTTTGGGGATGGAAATACTGTATATCTTGATTGCGCTGGTGTTTACATGTTTGTACACATTTGTCAAATTTCATCATCCTGGATACATAAGAAGGGAGAATTTGAGGGGCGCCTGGGTGGCATAGTCAGTTAAGCATACAACTCTTGGTTTCAGCTCAGGTCCTGATCTCAAGGTCATGGGATCAAGTCCCACAGCAGGCTCTGCACTCAGTGGGGAGCCGGCTTAAGATTCTTTCTCCTTCTCCCTCTGCCCCTCCCCTTGCTTGCACACACTGTCTCTTTCTCTCAAATAAATACATCTCTTTTTTTTTTATTTTTTTAAAAGATTTTATTTATTTATTCATGAGAGACAGAGAGAGAGAGAGAGAGAGAGAGAGACAGAGACAGAGACATAGGAAGATGGGGGGAGCAGGCTCCCTGCAGGGAGCCTGATGTGGGACTTGACCCCAGGACCCCAGGATCACGCCCTGAGCCACAGGCAGATGCTTGACCACTGAGCCACCCAGGCATCCCAATACATCTTTTAAAAAAAGGTGGGGGTGGATTTTACTTTATGTAAACTATTATTGTAATTCATCCAGTAAGTCTAACTGAAACAAAAATAATAGCATACTAAGGTCTAATGGACCAAGGACAATGAAACTATCACCCACCTTAATAGAGATAACACATTATTAAAGAAATTTAAATCTCTCTGGTATTTGATTTAGGGCGACCATTTCACAGTTTTGTTTTTTATCAAGCTTATAATCCATTAAAATATCCTATATCTGTCTAGATTTTTAAAATAAATGCAGTACTTTGTATTAATCTTTAAAGATTCCATCTGATATATTTAATTCCATGACATGAACGTAGTGAGGTATTTCTGATTCTGTACATGGTTATACAAGAGTATATTGTGTATAATCTTATGTCATCCACAATTCAGTCAGCATGCTTTATAAAAAAAACATTGTTCTTTGTAGAAAAATCATTTTTAATTTGTTTTTGTTTGGTTGTTTGGTTTACACTAGATAATATGAAACATGTATTTGTATATGGTAAGATCTAAGTAAGCTGATGAACTACAAAGTCCTGAAGACTGATAAAGCAATTTGCAAGTTAAGTTATATATATTCTGTTATAATTAGTTCCTTTAAAAAAAAAAGACATGTATTTACTTGAGAGAGAGAGAGAGAGAGACTGGGGTGAGGGGCAGAGGGAGAGAGAGAGACTCTCAAGTATACTCCCCGCTGAGCATGGAGCCTGATGTAGGCCTTGACTCCACAGCCCTGAGATTGTGACCTGCCAAAATCAAGAGTCAGATGCTTAACTGACTTGAGCCACCCAGACACTCCAGTTCCTTTTATTTTTTGAAAGGAACATTTTCAATCTTTCTTTTTTGAAATGCCACTAGTGTTGGATTATTTTAAATTATATAAATTACTGTGAGGTTTTGTTTCTTTCAATTCTCTTCATCTTTCTATTTTTAAGTGTCCTTATATATTTTAAAGAAAAGTGGCATTAAATTATTATATGTAAATCTGTCTTAAATTTCCATATTTACTTGTTTTGTGTTAATAAAACTCAATACAGACAGTTAAGTAATACTCATTTTTTTAAAAAAATTTATTTATTCATGAGAGAGAGAGAGAGAGATAGAGAGAAACACACAGAGAGGCAGAGACACAGGCAGAGGGAGAAGCAGGCTCCATGCAGGGAGCCCGACGTGGGACTTGATCCTGGGATTCCAGATTCATGTCCTGGGTGGAACACAGGCACTAAACCACTGAGCCACCCAGGGATCCCCATTACACTCATTTTTTTAATTGCATATACTGGAATGCCTGGGGGGGCTCAGTGGTTGAGCGTCTCCCTTCAGCTTGGGTCGTGACCCCAGGGTCCTGGGATTGAGTCCCACATCGGGCTCCCTGCATGGAGCCTGCTTCTCCCTCTGCCTGTGTCTCTGCCTCTCTCTCTATGTCTCTCATGAATAAATAAATAAAATCTTTAAAAAATTAAAAAATAAAATAAAAACTGCGTATGCTTTTGTTTGAATTTGTGATAATCCTACCTTTCTAAGTTGTCCTATAGTCAACATATATAGGCTCTCTCTCAACTGAAAGGAAATTTTCTTTGAATAAATTAGAATTTATATGCCAATTCTCAAATTAGTATAGAAACATTTTCAACCATAGAACAAAAAGTTTTCTCCCCCAAACAGATAAGAAGGTACATCTTCCATGTCACTATCCATTATTGAGAAACCATGTCATACTTTTAGATAATTAGGTTTAAATTCTAGTATTTTGCAGTTCTGTTATAAGATGTGCAAAGGTATTCTAAAAGCAGTATCGGGACACCTGGGTGGCTCAGCGGTTGAGCATCTGCCTTTGGCCCAGGGTGTGATCCTGGAGACCCGGGATCGAGTCCCACATCGGGCTCCCGGTGCATGGAGCCTGCTTCTCCCTCTGCCTATGTCTCTGCCTCTCTCTCTGTGTCTCTGTGTCTCCCGTGAATAAATAAATCTTTAAAAAAATAAATAAATAAAAGCAGTATATTCTCAGACATTTCTATAGATAGATATTTCTATAGATTTGACAGTCCTTATTAGTTTGTTATTTCTATTTGCTTATGAATCTCACCGATTCCATATCTTCCGAGGTTCTCAAAACACCAATATTGTAACATATGAGACAGAAAAGAAATTTTCAACTGAGCCTCCCCAGTTGCCAGATACTTGAACTCACACTTTCTTCCTGGACACTCACTTGTACAGAAATAGCTTAACTTCCTAACAGAGACATCTGCAGCTGAGTTTCTTCTTCTGAGTTTTTTCCAGGCAGGTACGAGTCACAGAATGCAAAGCAGTATAAAGCACCTGAGGAAGTCACTTACAGACCTGCATATAATTTAGGACAGGCACAGTGGGGTTTGGCTGTTCTCAAATGTACGGATTTATCTATTTCATCTCTCATAATATCTTCTTTATTATACTACATATGGAAATGTCAATGAAAACTATTAAACTAGAAAATGCTTTATGAAAGTCATAAAATGTTAGTTTGCATTACATTTCAATCAGGCATTATGGCTAAACTAAAGCACCGTTCATTATCCCTCTCTCTTTCTAGCTCAGTTTCTAGGATACTCACTGGAAACTCTGTGGGCATCTAAAAGGTCATTTCTAATATATACCAGTAACCCTTCGGGTTGGGAAGAAACCACCCCCCCCAGGGCTGGTAATATTACTTTCCTTCTGAGAAATAACACACATCATTTCATCTGTAGGGTAAGTCATAAAAAGAATGTAAAAATAAAAGCACAGAATCAACTAATCAACAGGAAAGATGTTCTGAAAAATTCTTTGAAAGGGTCCAGAGTGACTAATTTTTTTAAAGATTTTCTGTATGTAGGTACGTGTGTATGTATGTATTTGGGGGGTGGGTAGTGAGTGAGCTCGAGCAGGGGGAGGGGCAGAGGGAGAGAATTTCCAGTAGACTCTGTGCTGAGGGCAGAGCCTGATGCTGGGATTACCTCAGGACCCTGACATCATGACCTGAGCAGAAATCAAGAGTTAAAATGCTTAACCCAGGTGCCCCCAGAGTGACTAAATTTTTCTTAAAAACAAAAACAACAACAACAAAAAAACTCTAGTGAGACATTATCACAAACTATGTAATTTATTTCAAGTTATTCTACAGGAAAATGCATGCTATCCCTTTCCATAAGCATTTTTCAAATACTATTTTCTAGCTATCTTGGAATTAGTTACCACTATATTCTAGAGACTGGACACAGATCCTGCTTTTAGGGGGCTTAGGGTGTTGTTGAAAGGATAGGGCAGGTCTCAAATTTGCTCAAAACATGAATGAAGGGGAAGAAACCTAAAAATAGCCACGTTTACCACAAAATGTCAAGATTCACAGAATTGGGAACTTGAGAGCTAACTTCAAGTTTTAAGAAATAAATTGACATTTTTACATAGTTCTCTGTTAACTGTAAAAATCTATAACTATCACCATAGTGAGTGCAGAATGTAAGAAACTGGCTAAAGGAATATTGATGAAAATATAAACAATAGATTATTTCTTAAAAACTGAGATGGCTTTGTGCATATTAAAAAACGTAAGTGAAAACATCGGGACATGGCAAATTGCAGAGAATTAGGCAGCTGTGTATAATCATTTTACTAAAAAGTAGTTCATCTTACCTCTATTGCCAGTTGCCGAAGAGATGGTGAAGCCATGGAATGCAGACTTGAGTTACCCCTTATGGGACTATGGAGACTAACGTAAGCCACAGCATTTCTCTGCAGAACCTTCTTGAAATCCTGAAACCGCACCAAACCAAAACAAACCAAAAAGCTCCATAAGTAAAAGTAACACATTTTACGTTGTCAGTGCTGTGTTGAACTGTAAACACTCCCTACTTAGAATCATTACATTACACAACTACTCTTTAAAAAAAAAAAAAAATGTAGTGTGTTAGAGTGTACCAAGGTCCCGAAAGGATTTTGAATAAAGGGGATAAGGGGTTACGTATCACACATGACAAAATAGTTTCAAGCATGTTCCTGAATAAAGTCAAATCTTAGAAGAAAATGTTCTTACATGGCTCACATAGAGTAAGCTTCAACTAGAGAGTGCAGAACGGAAAGTCTGCTCTAGCCTCAGCACTTAATTTTATAGCTACTGAATCAGAGAAGAGACATGGGCAAACTACTTCAGCGATTAATCAAAGTAGGCCTTTCCTTTGAGACAATGAGCTACGTTTTACATGAAGTAGCTCTTTATCCTGAGCAAAATGGGGCATAATACACCTTTGTCCCTGAACATATTACTGGAAATAAAACCCGATGCGTTTTATGCACATGAGTAGCATAAAATGATTTCCGCAGACTAGTTTTTCTAGCTGAGCCCTGTCCCCCAAAACTGAAGACCACTGAGGCTATTATTAAGGTGCCACTGTCAAATCCCTCCCTTTTTGCACAGATATTTAATAATAACCAATCGTCATGGTGACAATTCCATAGAAAACACCTAAAAAGCCCTGTCCTACCTCATGTCTTAGGAACTTAGCTTTCTTCCTCCAACACTAGGAGTCAGGAGACTGTGAGAGCCAGCCTCCCTAGCAAACCAGTATGTGACCCCTATTTTAAGTTGAAAATTCAGCTACCTCTCTGTAAGATTCATTTAATAAATATTTTAAATGAATGGGAATGATGAAAATATAATTGTCCACATACATGCAAGGCCACATTGATTCAGTTTACAGGCAATGATGCTTGATGCTTAAAAAAATTCAGACCTTTTGCAATGCACTCCCCCTTGCATGGCTCAGGATGTATGTTGGGAACGACTAATGTTGGACAAGCCTACTTTGAGAACATAGCTTAGAAATATGCATGTTAATTTAGGATGATATAAATTCAATGTGAAAGTCACTAGATAGATATGGAGAAGGCTGTATGATATAATGGAATACATTTTTGGAATTTAAAAAGATTCTTTAAGAACTTTTTAAAAATGTAACTTACTGTTGCAAGAAACTAAAATAATTGTTTTATGATGAAAAAAATTCTGAAATACTAAAATCAGCTCAGAACGCAAATATATTTTCCAAATTGTTTTTTAACTTGTTTATGTCTTTGAAGTAAGTAATTTGGATTAAAAGTCTGAGAGGTTGGTTCAGCTCTTACATTTTCCATCTTACTAAAAATTTGTCAATTTAAAGACCTTTCAGCAATAGAATTTATTCATTTGATTTAGTTCTCTTGAAAATGGAACAGATATTCACACAACTAATTTGAGGATAGAAAAATAATCTAATTTACAATATGTATATCTTGATAAATTCTAAAGTTTTTCCATTTTTAAGACTTCTTTTTCTTCAAATTGAAAAGACACTTGCTATTTTCTTTTGTATCATTTTGATATTTTCTTTGAAGTCAATAGATATTTTAACTTTCTCTTTGAGTACCTAAATAAAAAAATGAAATAGGAGAATTTCCTATTAGATATTTAAGTTTGTCTGTTTTTTCCTCCAAAGCTGAGTTTGTAAATAAATTAGAACATCAAATAGTTTTATTTTCCTAGAGAAAACTGTAGAGATTTTTCCTACACTTCTCTACTAGCCTTCTTTTAAAAAAAAAATCATAAATAGAATATCTAAGAGCTTTATAACGTTCTCATTGTTTTTAATACGGCATCAATCCAATTATCAGTTGTCGTATCCCATTAAAAATACAATGCACCTGAGAAGCTCAGACCTATCAAAAGCATTTGGAACTTAAAGGTACCAGTGGCATTCTAGCTATGACGCAATGCATTCTAGATTTCATTTGGACAAAGGCTTCCTAAGGCAGTTTAGGTAGGCCGGTCGGTTAATAGATCTGTGGGAAAGAAGGAACAGAGAGAGAGATGTAAGAATAGAAGGAGGATGGGGTGGAGGAAGGGAGGAGAAAGGGAAAAAGAAAGGAGACCCCTATTTTGAAGCCAATCTACGTACCGTGTAGCTACGGTATGAGGCGAAGGTAGTAGATATTTAACATAGGAGACTGTTTCCTAATTCTAGATCATTGCCAGAAAGTCAAAAAAAAAAAAAAAATGATTGTGTGCATCAGCTCATCTCTTCTTGTCCAGTACCTGTCAAGCTCGTCTGCGGAGAAACACACTAAGCAGGAAAATGCAATCGTGGGTCCATGACTCTGATGAGTCTGTTGGTCTGGGAGCAACAAGATAAGATTGTTGCCGAGCACACACAATTCACTGTGTTCTAATTCCCCCTCCTTTTTTATGGGGGATCTTAGCAAGTTAGCAGATGGGACAACTTTGCTGCAAGGTACGTTCTTATCCCTGGCTTCCAGGGCTTTGTTGTGTCAACTTTAGTCGAAAAGAGAGAGCGAGAGAGAGCACGGGAGCGAGAGAAGCGTAATAATCAGTGTGCATTTACCTCTCCCCATTCATATGAGCCAATATTGCCAAAAGCTGTTCCTCCCCATGAACAGAAAACGATTGTGCGGTCTGGCCTCCACCCTTTCTTGACTCTTAACATCAAGGCCCGGATGAAAGCTGTGATTACGGCAGTGCTGCTAGCCCATTCTTGTCCGTAAGAACTGGGCGCCGCGGGATGCTGGCTGCCAACTAGGATGTAGCGGTCTGCAAAGAGAAGGAAGCGAGGGCCATTAAAACAAAATATAGACCTCAACAATGAATTTGATGACATTTACATAATCCTATCGCACAACTGAGCCACAATTATGTAAAACTGTCCTAATAATTAAGACCTACTTTGACATTTTTCACCCAACTGTCTTGGTTCACGCATCTGTGTATATCAAAGCAGAGGCAGCTGCTGGACTCAATTATGATTCCAAAGCTTAGACCCATATTACTGTCCTTTGCAACATGCATATTAATTAAGGAAGGATACAAATATGCCACAGTGAAACGTTTATCTAACATTTTTCCAGGATCGTAGTGGGAAGTGCCCTGTAAACAATGTGTATATGCTCAGTAAATATTAATGAGCTATTAATACATGTGACGGGGAGCAGTTATTCAGTAGCTGTAAATATCAAACAATGTGGTAGTCATATATGGATTTTGAAATAAATGAAGTATTTAGGGAATTAATTACAGCCTCCAACTCAGAGTTTTAGCTCCTCTGGTTTCTCTGAAGGAAAAAAAAAATCAACATCAACAGTCATCCAAGTACTGTAAAAGTTTTCTTTTCACATATTTCATAGAACATACAAAATCCATCAGATACAACATAAAGAGACTGACTATTGTCAATAATAAGGTGGAATAAAAGCAAATCTCCAGAGTTTCCTCTGATTTTGCTGCCACTAAGTGTTACTGGTATAGAATTCCATTTATTTCATCAAGTGCTCCCACACATCCGTGTAAAAAGATTTCTACAGCAAGTGCCATTTTACTCAGAGATGTCCTGTAGCTCAATGGCGCAGACACTGAAGCCAGCCTGCTCGGGTTTGCACCCAGGATATTCAATTTACGAGGTGGGTGACCTTGGAAAGTTTATCTCAGCTCTTTGTGCCTTAATTTCTTAAATTAAAAATGGAAATACAGGGACGCCTGGGTGGCTCAGCGGTTGAGCATCTGCTTCTGGCTCAGGGCGTGACCCCAGGGTCCTGGGATCGAGTCCCGCGTCGGGCTCCCTGCACGGAGCCTGCTTCTCCCTCTGCCTGTGTCTCTGCCTCTCTCTCTGTGTCTCTCATGAATAAATAAATAAAATCTTTAAAAAAAATAAAAATGGAAATACAAATAAAACATACATCATTCAGTTACTTTGAGTTGTAAGTGACTTACTTACACTTGGGACAGTGTCTGACACAGCAAATACTACCTGTATGTGGAAGGAATGAATTACTCCTTTACCTCATGGTGTCAAAAAACCATTTGACGGGAAATCGTTGCATGAAGTTATTTCAGTTTTCCATACTGATTTTAAAAGCAGCAATGAATTTGATCTGCCAACATTTTATCAAAATTTAATTAATGATATAAAGAGAGTGGTTGCAAATGTTGAAACACAGGGAATTTATTTACTCACCTCCCAGATATGTGTGAAAGTTCTGCTTGGGATTATCTGTATTCTAGATAAACCATATCTAAAAACCTTAATGATTGTTTCTAATTTTCAGAGTCATTAAATAAGAAAATCATGTGAGTGAACAGCCAATATTTTTGCATAGAATTCAAATAAACAGAATTTGAGAAGCTTTGTCTATTACACACTGAAGAATACTACTGGTAAATTGATTTTAAGAAACTGATTTTTTTTTTCCTATATTGAATTTCAGTTAGGAAAGTTATTTTACCCTAAAGCGAGTTTTGTATAATTTGGTTTTTCTACAAAAACTAGCACATGTAGCAATGATGATAAATATTTCTGGTGCTTCAATTAGAGATTCTTATGATGGAAATTTGTTGAAATAGTTGAATTGCAACTATAACAATTTCCAAATCCATTTATACCTTGCATTTAAAGACATTAAAATCAGAGGTTGTTCAACATTGCTACTGGAAAGAAATTAGAGGAAATATGAACCTTCCGTAAATATTTTTAAGAGTTGGCTGGCAGGAAACTTGGAGAGATGTAAAACCTGATCTCAAAACTCTCCGGGTTATCAATTATGGGACAATTTGACTGAAGTTGTGGAGAAAAATAATTCTCCAGGGAGAACTTGAGTAAATATCCCAACCAAGTCAACAGAAGTGGCACAAGTTTGTGCCACTTTCTAGAGTGCTACGCGGCTCAACCTCAGTGTATTCAAAGTGTTGCTATTACTCTCTTCATTAATACATGTATTCGTTAGTTTTACTTTTTTAGCCTACATGATGTTATCTGAAGACGCCATGAACATCCCAACGCGAGGTGTAAAATTATTTAAAGTTCAGCTAGGGGACCATTTCCATCAGCATCTTCAAAACCTAAAGCCACACAGACGTGAGGCCGAACTGTCAGTAGACCACGGGCCAGACACAGAACATAGGTTAACCCTGAAAGATTCATTTTTGGAGATAAACATGTTTACTTTAAAAAAAAAGGGGGGGGGGAATCCCTGGGTAGCTCAGCGGTTTGGCGCCTGCCTTTGGCCCAGGGCGCGATCCTGGAGACCTGGGATCGAATCCCACATCGGGCTCCCGGTGCATGGAGCCTGCTTCTCCCTCTGCCTGTGTCTCTGCCTCTCTCTCTCTCTCTCTCTCTCTCTCTGTGATTATCCTAAGTAAATAAATTAAAAAAAATCATTAAAATAAATAAATAAATAAATAAAATAAAATAAAATAAAATAAAGAAAAAAAGAGAAAAAGACATCACAAAAACTTTTTTTTTTTTTTCCCTAAAAGGTCCTCTCTTGATAAAATCAAAAATTCCAGTGGTTATGGTATGGTGACGAAGAACAAACAGACAAAAAACCCACGCTGGTTTGGGTAGCTTTTCTTCATAAGGAACATGCCAATTTAACGAGTCTAAACTCTCTTCTCATTTTGGTTTCTTTTTTTCCCCCCTTTATGCTCTCTATTTAGATTTATTTTTGAAGAAAGTAAGAAAGAGAATAAAGACCTACTTCTTGGTTTCATACTGACTGACTCACTCTTCGAGCAGTATGAACGAGCTACAGCTACAGTGGGACATTTAATTACGCTCTTACATTGTTACAGAGCATTTTCTTGTGACGGTTTAATAGATTGTTAATACATTATAGAATCTGTACCCCTCCTTACCTGGAGATGTCAAGCCCTTTAAATATCCAATAACATTAGTAATTGTTTTGAATTTCGTAACTGTCTGAACTTGCATGTTGACAATTCTTTCGTCTGAAAAAAAAATTATAAGATATTTGCTTTTCTATATCCTCTTGTTGTTTCTTAAAACATTCAACTTAATTTATCGAATGTCGTTAACACAAGAATTCCAAAACAATTGAAAATTTCTAGAAAATCAAAGTTACACCTTTTGGCAAGTGCCTACTGAATCCTTCTGTTCTAAAATTCTATTTTAGGAATTTGTTATACAATGAGGATCAGGCTACAATTGCTCATAGAACTGCAGTGCAGAGCTATAAAGAGGCAATTTGAGACTCCACACTCAGAGCTGCAGTGAAGTTCAACATGAGAGCACACAGAAGACCTCGGGGAGATGTGGACAACTCATACCTTAAAAAAATATGGATCAGATAAAAATATTTCCAAAGAAATTTAAGTGCTTTTCTAGCTTCAGAAAAAGAACACGTGGAAGCTAATTTAATCTTTCCTGCGTGATTCATTATTACGTTATCACATGGAAGACTGTAAACCAGCAATACAGAAATTAAGAGTAAGGATTTCTAAAGCTATACATATTTTTTTTTTGCAGTCTTCATTTTCATCCGTGTTGGTTGGTTTCTCACTTCTATTCTAAATCTCCACAGAGTTGCTCTGCCTCTTTGAGTGCTTGTATTCGTGCCTGATACTCAAAAATTTCAACAACAAATAAGGCAAAGACACCATGATCAGGAGATACTTCAGTCACAGTCCTGGAGCCATCTTTGAAGGTCTTTGGGGGTGATGGGTATTAATCATGTACTTGATGGATCCTGGGAAGTCTTGGGGTAGGAGGTTCAAGGGCAGCTAGGAGATTCTTCTGGGGGGTTGCAGATGGCAATTAGGATGCAGATAATGCAGGGCACCTGGGTGGCTCAGTGGTTGACCATCTGCTTTCAGCTCAGGGCATGATCCTGGGGTCCTGGGATCGAGTCCCACATGGGGCTCCCCGCAGGGAGCCTGCTTCTCCCTCTGCCTGTGTCTCTGCCTCTCTCTGTGTCTCTGATGAATAAATAAGTAAAATCTTAAAAAAAAAAAAAAAAAAGAAAAGAAAAGAAAAAAAGCAAGCAAGCAAGCAGGCAAGCAGGTAATGCCAAGTAGCCAGGCTCTACTGACAGGCCTTCAAATGCCACTTTTTTCTACTGGATGAAAATTGTTTAATAATAATAATTGTCTTGTTTCCTTGAACGTACCCTTTCTGGGAATGCAAATGGGAAGTCAATATACTGAGTTTATTAAAATTAAAACTAAAACAAGAGTGAAGATTCCCTGAGAGAATGTCTGAGCACCTCAGATATGAGAAATGGAAATTTGCATAAGAGCCCGAGTATTGTGGTTTTTAGCTTAGGTGCTATGCACTCTTGTTTGTTTTAAATTAATATACTTTTTTTTTTTTATAGCAGTTTCAGATTTACAGGAAAATAGATTGGAAAGTACAAAGTTGTCAAATATCCAGTCTCTCTCCCCCGCTCCTACTAACGTTTATCATTTGGGTGATCTAGTGATTATCATTGATAAGGCAACATTAATACATAATTGTTAACCGAAGTCCACGGTTTACATGAGGGCTCACCCTTTGTGTAACCCGCACTATGGATATTGACCACGCATAAGGGAAAGTCTCCAAGCTTACAGGATCATGCAGAGGAGTTTCACTGCCCTACAAACCTCCTGTGCTCTACCTTTTCATCCTTCCCCTACTCCCTCCTTATTGAACCACTGATCTTTTAAATCTCTCCATAGTTTTCCTTTTTCTAGAACATTATATAGTTGGACTCATATGGTTGTTTTTTGTTTTGTTTTTAGGGTTTATTTGAGAGAGAGAGGGAGTGAACGTGGGGGTGAGGGGCACAGGGAGAGGGAGGAGTGAATCTCAAGCACATGCCCACTGAGCATGGAGTCCTGCACTGCTGGAGCTCACCCCCCTGCGATCATGCCTGGAGCCAAAATCAAGAGTGGGCTGCTTAACTGCCGAGCCACCCAGGCACCCGTCGTATATTTGTTTTTAACGTTTATTTTCCTTCTCTACTTTTGTTCCAAAGAGTTCAGATAAGTGAACTTCAGGCAAGTGACTCATTACTTTAGAGTTTTTTTTTTTTTTAAATCTATTTTTAAAATAGATTTTTTCCAGCTTATTTTTGAGTTAGACATGGATGAAAAAATATTCTCTGGTTTTATAAGATTCTTTTGTTTTCCTCATTTAGAAGTGAGAAAACCTCACAAGATTTAGAAACCTGCAACATAGGGCTTAGAATATTACCTTGCATTAATATAGTTTCTTACAAATTATAGTAGACATTTTCCCATGTACACGCGAGGTCTCATTGGATCTCACTGATTCTTGAAACAACCAAGTGAAATGGGTTCTATTATCTTTATTGAATAAGGCACATGGGGCAGGCCAGGGACTCAAACCAAGGTAAATATAATAATCATATAAATAACATTTTTAGCCAACAATAAAGTCTCTCTCCCTCTAAGATTCTATTTCTTTCATTATGAGATATTCTTCATATGTATATAAAAGAATCAAAACTAATACAACATACTATGATGATCCACATCTAGTTTTCACATATTATTTTACTATATTTCCTTCATTCATATCATTTTTCAGTAATGAATATGATCTCACAGACTTGGTTATTACCCTAAGGTAAATGTTTATCATTTCAGGTTTTGCTATATAGATTTAGATAGATTGGTAGGTTGATAAGTAGGTAGATATAGGTAGACATGAGCATAGGCACAGATGTAGAAATAAACATACTCCATTATTTTATAAGCTTTGATATTTGACAGATATTATTTATCCCCCTTTTTTTTCCCACTCAGCATTATGTTTTTCTAACTTTCCATGAATGTACATGGAGATCTGGTTCATTCATTTAAACTGCTAAGTAGTATTTGGTTGTAAAGTCAATTCCAGCTTATGTTCTAGTTCCATTACTAAGATCTAGGAGGTTATTTCCACATTTTCAACATTACAGTGTGGCAAAGAGATTTTTTTTTCTTTACATTTCTTTTAGCATGTGTGCCATTTTTTTTCTCCAATTAGATAACTAGAAGTATAAATAGTGGGTTATAATATATGTGTATCTTCCACTAATATAAGATGTGTTTATTCCACTAATATATATGGATCTTCAACTAATATCTTCAACTAATGTATGGAGAAATTGCTTATCATATTTTTTTTTACTTTTGACAATATTATGGGTATAAAAATCTTCTTATTGCTTTAATTAGCATTTCCCTGGTTACTAGTGAGGTTCATAAATTTTATATATTTTATGTCTAAGTTTTTCATTCATATTCTTTGACATATTCCTTTGAGTTGTTTATCATTTTGGGTATTTTTGTGGGGTTCTTTTATTTTGACTATTATTCTTTTATGAGTTATATGCATTACACATACTTTTCAGTCTGTGGTTTACATTTTCTAGATACTTATTATATTTTAAATATCAATATGGTCAAATCAATAATATTTCAATATTCTCCTTGAGTACTTGTGGGATTTTTATGTTTTGTTGTTTTTACTTTTTTAAGAAACACTTTATTTCCTAATGTCACAAAATGTTTTCCAAGTATTTTAAAACTGAATTTTCAAATTTGTGTTTTTAATCTAGTCAGACTACATTGTGAAGTAGGTATTCAATATTACCTCTGTGTTAGGGATAGTCAAGTGTTCACACATACTTTATTAAAGACATTTGAGGGTTGCATTCGGGATGAATTAAATTAATGAACTCATTTGAGGAGTGTCTTCTGTCCATAAACATTGTATGTCTCTCTATTTCAGTTGTTTTTCAGGTCTTTTTAACAAAGTTTTATATTCTGCTCCAGAAAAGGATTGCACAACCATTATTAATTTATTTTTATGATGTTCCTACTATGATAACAATATATAATATTTATAACTTTTTCTATCATGTATAAGCATGCTATTTAATTTCTCACCTTGGTCTTACAATGAGTCTTCTTACTAACCTCTAGAGATTGTAATAGTTGATCTATAGAGTTTTTTTATTTTTGTTAGTTTCAATTTAGGCAATTGCTCACCAAAAGAAGAGAGCTTTGTTTACTTCTTTCAAATTTTATGACTTTCAAGTATCATTCTTATCATCCTGTCTAGGGCTGCTAGTGCTATACAGAATAAAAGCATTGAAAGCAGTATTCCCTGGTCCTTACTTTGTGCTTTTCATTTTAAAAGGATGTTTCTTGGATTTTACTTTTAAAAAGAAACAAGTGATATTTGCTATAGGTTCCTGGAAAATTCCCTTTCAGATCAAGGAAGAACACTTCTGTTCCTACTTTGCAAAGAGATTTTGTCATAAACAGATGTTGAATCATCTTTGGAGATAATTGAAGGCTTTTCACTTTGCTGTGCTAAAAAATGCATATGTTCCTGGACAAAATTCTACTTAGTCATGATATGTTTTCTGTAATTGGCTACTAATGTTTTTAGGATGTTTTCATAAATAAGAGATTGGCTGACAGTTTTACTTATCATTTGTCCTTGTCTTGTTTTGGGATCTGGATTATACAACCTCACAAATGTTTAGGGATATTTGCTTCTTTTCCTGGATTTTTCTAGGAGTTTACAGGTAGCACAGGGATTATCCATTTTACAAAGAAGTGCCAGGATTCATACATAAACTATTGAGTTCTCATATTTTGCATGTGGGGTGAGGAAGCAGAGTATGTTCTCACTTAATGTATATTTTCATTTAATTAACATTTTCAAATAAATATTCATGGTTATAAATTCATTCAGATATTTAACATGTTTATTGCTTCCAGTTATTTGCATTTAGTTGTTCACTATATTCTTGTGCTTCCAAAAAAAGGAAAGAAAAAAAAAAAGAAAATCACTCTGTATATCTATTTTTGTCCTCTTTTCTAACATTAACTCATTCTTGTCTTTTTTTTTCTTTACCAGTTTTGCTAGAAGTATTTAAGTTATTAGTATTTTCAAATGGGATTCGTAGATTCTCATTATAAATTTTTTT